CGAAATTTTCGTAAATATTACGAATTTTTTTTTTCTTAAACTTAAGTCTATAAGTAAATATAATTATTTCAATTCACTTAATACTTCTTACTGACCCAAAATGTGCACTAATACAAAATGTATTTAATAAGTATTATGCAAATATTATTTTAATTAACCTTAACATAAATTTAAATTTTACTACTGCTTACTATTTATAATACTACAACTACTACAAAAGCCCGACTATATACCAAATAAGCAGACAAATTCAATGTTAAACGTTTTTCAGTTTGTATCTATAAGTTTAATTTGCAATTTGACTTGAAAATTGTACATATATACAAGTTATTAAATCTGATAATATAGTAATTAATTATGTAGTATTATATTAATTAATAATTATGCATATTAAAGTAAATAGGAAAACAGAAAATCAAACAAACAAACACTAGCATATGTGTATGAAAGTAGATTAGAAATAGAAAATAGAATTAGTATAATAATAATAATAATTAATTTAAATTATTCTTTTAACAAGGTCAACCGGCATTTGTAAATTTATGCAGACAGTAGTCGCAGAAAAACACATAATTTTAGAAAAAAATGAATGTGTATTTTTTTAGAAAGACTAATTAGTGATTACGATTTATATTAAATTGTTAGTAATTGTATAAATAATATACATACATATATTTATAATGTATAGTAGTAATATTTAACTTGTAATACAGCTTTGTAAACATCTGTTTTGTGGTTATATACCAAATACTGTGATATAAATTGTATAAATTGGTTCAGTGACCTGTCGCAGAAAGTATAAAAATTCTAAATTTGTTATTTCTAGTGGTCCCTCTACATATAAAATGTTTGCATTAGTACCAGCCCATACCCTAGTGAAACTTAATGAACTGACTTCACGTGGCCTCATAGGCAATAATATAGAAGTGTCAAATCACAAGAGCTTGAAGGCCAATTAACACGTTCATTTCTCGAAATCAAGTTATCGCTAAATTTTGATTTCAATAAATTCATATCTCGACCGGATCAATGTGTTATTTCGTGTCATGTGACCCATCTCAAAAAATCGATTTTGATGAAATTTGCACCAAGGTTCGGTTCGTCTTAGAGGGTCTCAAAGTTGGACATTTTGATCATACAAGTTTTTTTTTTTCAAATGATTGTAACTTGTAACCTATTGGTCCTAGCAAAAATTGTCCAAAGGAGTTTAGATAGCTATTTCTTCACTGTTTCTAATAGTACTTACTAACCTTGGTGCAATTTGCATTCAAATCGGAAGATATCGATTTTAAAAGTTTGGTCACGAAGTTGCCAATAAATAAAATTTCAACATTACTGAGGGACTGACTGATTCATCATCGCACATCCTAAACGATGTTAAAGCGAAAGAGCTGAAATTTGGACAGGAGATTGGACTTCCACAAAATAGACTAAGATTTTTGGAAATTCCAATGTTTAGGGGCTAAAAAAGGGTAAGTTCGTTAACCTCATATCTCCTAAACTGGAAAAGATACAAAAAAATTTTTATTACTTCAATAGGAAGAAAAAAGTACTAAAAGGGGAAAACGGGAAATTTGATTTTATTCAAACTCATTGAGCCAATTTTAATCAAATTCGAGAAATTGGTAGATTTAGTAATATTGTTGGGGTGTTACTTGGAACTCCAGCACAAAGAACTACTTTTTGGTACTTTTTCGTTTTGTTAGCTAGTACTTGTTGTGTTTTTTTTCAACATGTGGAGCCCGGAGTTAATGAGAAGCTGTAAGAGAATTTGAGGTACTTTTTTGTTCTTTAAAAGGTATTTTTTGAATTTTCTACAATAAGTAACCTAGAGACAAAAATGAAAACCTAGGAGTAAATGAAAACCTATAAAAAGGAACGTTTTGGTACTTTTTCATTCTTCAAAAGGAGTTTTTTGAATTTTCTATAATATTGAACCTAGAAACGTGAAATTAAATATGTAGAAACCCTAGTAAATGAAAACCTATAAAAGGGGAATTTTTGGTACTTTTTCGTTCTTTACCTGATACTTTTTGAGTTTTCTATAATAAAGAACCTAGAAATATGCAATTGTAGATCCCGGAGTAAATGAGAATCTATAAAAGGGGACTTTTTGGTACTTTTTCCTTCTTTAACTGGGACTTTTTGAGTTTTCTCTAATAAAGAACTTAGAAATATGCAATTGTAGAGCTCGTTATTTAAAAAGGACTTTTTTTGTTTTCTATAATAATGAACCAAAAATATGCATTTGTAGAGTCTGTAGTAAATGAGAACCTATAAAAGCGGACTTTTTTGTACTTTTTCGTTCTTTAACTGGTACTTTTTGAGTTTTTTATTATAATGAACCAAGAAACATAAAACTAAGCAATCAGGGTCTTTTCTATAATAATATTTATTTCATTCCATTACGATGAGGGTAGCGAAGCACACTGGGTATAGCTAGTGTATAAATAAATAAAGATTACGCTCTAGAATATGGGGAAGAAGCTTATTATAAATTTAGGTCTAGGGTAGGGTCCTTGCATTAGGCTGTTTGGTAGTGTTATATACCTTAAAACTGCACTCAGAGAAAAAACATGGTTCGATATGTTTACTACAACTATACTATGTTCATTGTAACAATATATTGTTAACAAAAGCAATTTTTTGTTTGACTATGTTATGATCAATAGGAACATATTATGATAAAATATTGCAACTGTATTTAATCATAATATTGATATTTTAAAATAATTACAATAACCATAATATGTTTAGATTACAACCATTTATGTTGCTCTTAGATAGTGACCATGTTTTTTTTTTCTGCGTGTTAAGTGACAAGTGACAAATTCAGAGACTGATTCAGCGCAGCTTATTGCTATATACAAACATTCTATAATATGACAACTGTATGAAATTGAATTAGCTGCTATCAAACTTAGCGTAAAGCAAATTGTTTACAACCAAATAATTAACTAAAACATTTTTATATATAAACATGTAGCGCGTCAATTAAATGGCGATTTATTTCATTGCATACATTTAATATTCTATTAACAGGTGAAATGACTGCTCTAGAATAATAATTACATTTAAATTGAATTTCAAAAAATAAATTTTTCTTTATTATAAATCATTTAATAACAAAACAATTATAATGACAAATGCAAAAAAATGTATCTAATAGATTGAAGTTCAAAACAACCATCAAGTGAATAATGTGAAAGATACAGTAAAAATAGCTATGAAATTAAAACAAATAAAAAGATTTAGAGCATAATAAATACATACAAACAACGACGTAGAAGAGAGGAGAGAGGACAAGAGAAAAGAGGGTAATACAAAAAAAAATAAGCAAACAAATTGTTTCAACAAGCACGTTGTTGAAACGTAGTGGAATTAAAACACAACAGAGAGTTAAAGGAAGCAAAAAAGAGAGGCGATTTTTTTTTCTATGAAAAGAGATAAAAGAGTGACATTAAAGAGAGAACAGCAGCAAATTTTTGAGAGAAAAGAGTAAAAGAAATTAAAAAGGACATGTTTTTTGGTGGATTTTTTTTTTTTTTTTTTTGGAAAAATCGAAATTTTGAATAGCAAAGACCCAAAGAAAAAACTATTAATAAAATTATGAGTTGAAGTTAAAAGTTTACAAAAGTTATTCAACTTTTTTTTTTTTTGACCGGTAGTTAAACAAAAACTTTTGTTTATAGTTTTAGTTTTTTTTATGAAGTTGTTGTTGTTGTTGTTTTTCAAAAGGGAATTGGGCCTAAAATAAACAAAATGCCGTTTTGTACTTACAACAGAGTATTTAGACAATTACAACACTAACACTTTACTACTTACTACCTATACATAAAATATTATTTAGGTATGTATGTCGGTAGATACATTTAATGTTCTTCTTCTTGTTGTTGTTGTTGTATGTATCTACATCTTATTTTTCTTTGAGTAATGTATGGTAACAAACAAAGATTGTTTGTTTGTTTCGTTCAGGCTATGTTTTTTTTTTTTCGTTATGTTTAGTTTGCTTTAGTTGATTTTTTGTGGATGAATTTCCTCCTCTTGTACATATACCATAAACAAAAACAACAATAGCAATAACAAAATCTTATAGACTTGGAAATTATAGGTACACATATCAAAGATACTTATTTTTTTTTTGTGGAAAAGCAAATACATATAATGAATTTTAAATATTGTAAATTTTTTTTTTTTGTTATGGATTAGATTACTCACTAAATACTTGAGAAAAAATTTTGAAATTTTTATTGCCTCTAACAGGGTTTATACAAAGTCACTTGATTTTTAAGTTGTTTATTTAATTTTACACTAATTAGGTATTTAAATTATTAAATGATTTCTTAAACAAAATTTTTTAAATTTTATAGATAATTTATTTCTTTATTTTGTTTTATTTTTATGCTTTTAATTTTTGTTTTTTTTTTTTTTCTTCTCAAAGATTAAATATTTTTGTTATTAATTAATTAAATTTATTTATAAACACTAAAATCTTTTAAATATATAATATATAATAAAATAATATATATATTTTTTCTTTTTTTATAATATACAATTTTTCTTATAATACAATATGCGCGCGGCGCGTTTTTATTTTCAATTTCTTTTCGCTTTTTTTTAATAAAAATATAATATTTTCTTTATTGTATACAAGTATACAGCAAAAAACACTTTATTTGTTGTATTTTATTTATATATATATTTTTTTTGTTAAAAATAATTCGCATACAAAAAAAAATTTATTACACGCGAGACAAATAGAAATTGTGCTGCCATTCATTGCACCCCGGCACGTAATACTAGTTTCAGTTAACCACACAAAGAATTTCACATCCCGTCATCGACATTTCGTACGTTGTTCTGTTCTTTATTTCTTCTTGTTCTTCCTTTTCTACTTCTACTACACTACTAGAACATACGTACGTACATTCATCCATACAAATGTTTTCTATATATACTCACAACAGATACAAATTACGGTACGACGGTCGTTGTTCATTCTCTCATCGTCGTCGTCATCAACATCACCATCATCACACGGTTGTTGTTATTCCATCAAAAAAAAAAAAAAATACGTAAAGAAACACAAGAACAGCAGCAACACAACAGTCAGGAATAAAACACACCGAATAACACACAAAAACAAAAATAATAAAAATGTACAAAAAAGAAATAAACAAACACACACACATTCACTCAATAAATCGCTCGCTCACATAGATACAGATAGAGGAAACACACGAAAAAAAAAAGAATCATTCTACATTCTCTATATGATTCGTGCACATTCACAAAATGTTACACTAAAATCAAGTACAACAGCAACATACATTTTGAATGTGGTATAAAAATTCACGGGCTGACTGGCTACTCACTCATTCACTTACTTACTTACCTACCACTCGGCAGCAGGCCAGCTATCCAGCTAGAAGCAACACATCAAAATCAACCAAAATACAAATTAAATACAAGTGTTGTCAACAACTGTTAAAATGTTAGTAATTGTCGAACGGCGCGAAAAGTTTTCAAGCGCTTAGATATCATTTCGGCTAACGGCAAGCGCTACAAAGACATGATTACGTACAGTTTATGGGCTTAAAGGGAAGACATAAACTTGGATAATCTTTGGATTCAACAAAATGACAAAATCCAGTCACATAGCTTATCATATAATCGATCATTTGCGTACAGAGTTCGCTAATCGTTGTTATCAACCGTCTCGGCGATGTTAACGGAGGGAAGTACCCAGAAACCCTTGAGACTAATATTGACTGAGGCATTCGAAGAAACCTTCAACAAAATATAGGAAATTTGTTCTAACAGGAGAAGGAATAGTGAAGCCAGCTGGGTCAGATATATAAATCGAATGGAAAGATTTGTTCTTTCAACAATGGATGCCGCGACCAAAGAATTACTCATCTTTATAGGCCAAGAATGAATCAAGTCAATTTCGGTTATCGTGTTATAAAGAGAAGCGTATCCTAGAGAGAGAGAGAAAGCGTTCCGCACCCATCGAAACAAATATAAATCAGACGGAGCAAGGTCTGGACTATAAGGCGGGTGAGGCAAAACTTCCCAACCAATCTTTGTAAATAGTTTTATAAAGATCTTGAAACATGTGGTCGAGTGTTGTCATATAAAATATGTTAGCTTTCAGGTTCTTCTTTGGCCAATGCAGGCTTCAGATACCCTGGGATGTAATGGCTCGATTTCAGCAGCTCTTCTGGTCCCAACAAAACGCCATAGATATTTGGCTTTGTTTTCGAATCGGCTGCTTCCGGTTATCATAATTGATGCATTTTTTATCGTAAGTATTTAATCTGAGCAAAAATTATTTTCTTTTATAGCGTTCAAACAACATTTCGGACATTGCAAAATCTTTCAAGGTATATCGACTTCCATTCGTTTGGTACTCAATGAATGAATCCTGCTGCTCGCAAAAAATGCTGCTGTAGTAGCTCCCAATGATTTTGCCAACTCTTCTTGAGTTTGACAACAATCTTTATCTCACTCTTTGTGCATCAAATTCTTGGTCTGGCCTGGGCGATCTTTGTCTTCCGTGTCAAAATCACCACTTCTGAACCGCACAAATCATATTTCGCCAGATGGAACACATTCACGGAATTGACCAAAACTTGGCACAGAAATTGATTTTTTTCACTACACTCTTCTCTTCTTCAGCTTCTCTATCTCCTGAAAAAATGTTATTTAGTCAATTTTTATTAAGCGTCAAACGAACTATTTATTTCGATTTTTTACAAGTAAGTAGTAATGATTTCTATTTATCATTTTCAAAGGATATCCCTTTCAGTAACTGAGACCCATATTAATTTGCCAGACTGTTGTCTGTGGTGTCAAGGTCCTTTTCTGTGAAGGACTTTCTTTGATGTCCTACAAGTAAGTATTAAAAATGAAAATTGTTCCTCTGAGTAACAGTTTCGTTTATTAATGGATTCCTCGAGAATTTCAAATGCTTTAAAGTTTTGAATCCCGTAATAAATCGAGAAAGTGTTGTCTGATTTGAAACATTAAGAGTTGAAAGATTTTATAGCGAGTTAAAACTAGAATTCTAGATGAAATGGCATTGATGGCATACATTTTCATCTGAAACCGTTCACATTATAATGGAGACCAAGCGTTTCATTTTATCATAGAAAAATCCAGAGCCCATTCAATTTTAAAACCATCGGTGTAGAATAAGATCGCGAAAGCCTTATCATTTCGACATAGTGTATTTGAGAGTTTTCATCAGTGATTGCACTGCTGTTTAACAATTTACGATCATGTCTCTGACCATAGAACCAAAATGAATTTGTAGGACAATCTGATGGAGATCTAACTTATCATTTTATTAGAGAAAAATTCATTTTAAAAACATCATCAATTCCGTTTTTTTCAAAATTTGCCCTTAAGCATTAAAAAGCTTAACTTTCTGATCCTAGAACCGATTTCATTTCAATTATTTTATGGGCACTTTTTCACGTCATCAAATGGAATCTCTATTGTAATGAGTATCCGATTTCGAGAGGATTATACAAAATTTCTCTTGTGATGATTTTACTCTCGACAAAGAGAAACAAAACGGTTGTACAATGTTTTTTAGATCACCGTTTTTTGCGTGATTGTTTAAGGCACCCTATGCTGTCTCTCTGTCTATGCCAATACGCTCCAAGTACGAAGGACAATCTACATTTCAATTCATTGAAATTTGGAAGCTTACTTTTTCCATGTTATTCAATGGTATCATTATTGGATTAGGTTCCCTATTCCGAACATATCATTGAAAAGCGCTCTCTCATAGAACTCGTAGAAGAATTTATATGATTAGACTACTACTAAGATTTTTAGTCGATCCTTTCCGCTTCCATGTTCTTCAAGAAGGCAAAACCCAAGGTGTGATCTAAGCGACTACGAGATATGATCCATTCTTCAGTTATCTAGCTATTGCTGCGATCAAAAGTCATTGACTTCAACTCCCTATTATAAAGGTGTAGAGGTCATAAGTGTAGGCTAAGATCGTGAAACCCTTATTATTTCGACATAGTGTTTAGATTTGAGAGTTTTTATAGAGTTTCTAGTCTTGAATTCTACGCGAAGCCGCATAGATAACGTAAATTTTCATCTGAAAGACGATATAAGTATTACACGTTTTTATCATTATGATTTGATTGCACTGTTTTTTCAGAACTTGAAATCATGTCTCTGATCCTAGAACCAAGATGCATTTGTCGGGTTTTCAGGACAAGTATTAATAGCGAAATTGCATAAAGAGTCAACACATAGAGCTAGTACTGGCAAGCTGTAGGTCTTAATAAATTTATTGACGATACAATTATTCATGTAAGTTGCGCCATGAATACTAAACATAATTATGTCAGTGTTTTATGCCAAAGTAATGTCAAAAATTGTTATATCAAAACCAAAATGTTGTTTTCTTTCCCCAAAAACCAACCTAGTCGACAACACTGAAAACCTACTAGCTTTTACTCTTCTTAATACACTGAGTTCATTTTCAACAATCAAACAACAAATGTGAGTGTTTGTGTGAATAAAAAGGAATTGAAACGAAAAAAATTCAATTCCGCCACCGTTAAAAAAAAAAAGAAACGAAAACTCCCAACAAAAGAATTAGAATAAAAAGCATTTAAATATGTGGCAATACACAACAACCCACAATAAAGTTGAAGAAAAAAACACGTAAAAAGTTTTGAATATTCATGGCAAAGAAAAATATAGACAGACTAAATGTCTCCTGCTATACGTTCAAAACGTTCAATGTTGCAACATTTTGCCTCTACGTGTGTTTTAATAAATTATGTATAAATTATTTCCATATTGGTAAGAGTGTGCGGAGTCTCTTTTATGTTGTTGTTAAAATGTTATTATGTTACGTTTGTAATGTTTGTTGCAACTTGCAATGCACAGTGACTTAGAGTTTGTTTATTGTAATATGGCATCGTCATCACCATTATCAACGTCATCCTACTTGGCCAGTGAGAGTGTAAATAAATTCCATAAATAGTCCGCCAGTTGTCGGTGGAAAAGGAAAAAAAAAAAAACAACAACACAACCAGAAATTGCCCGCCAGAAATTTTACACACGCATTTGTAGTTTTTTTTTATGGTTTGTTTGCAGAGTTGTTGCCAGATTAAATACTAATTCGCTTTTAAGTGGCAACAGTTCTTTAAGTGTTTGTAAGTATGAGTTGATAGTTATTATTGGCTGTATTAGCAAGTGCGAAAGTTATACAGTTTATAATGGTGGGAGAGTAAGTCTTTGAAAGATTTTTGTATGCTAAACTGCACTCTTTTGGCCGAATGAAATCAAGAAGTCAAGAGGACAGAATGAGGCGTGGTAAACTGTTTTCTTTGGGGAAATAACTGATTTCGATATGTTAACATGTTTATTAATGGTATTTATTTGTTTTTAAAACATGTTCTGTAATGAATATCTAAGAAGAGCTGAGACTTATTCCTTTTCTCTTTCTGACATTCTAGATTTGATTCACTTAGATTACACATCTTTTTTGAAGAACGCAAGTCCACCACCACTCGAAACTTACATTTTAAAACCTCTAGTCAATCTTTGTGTGATACTTGGAAGATCATTACGAAATCGGAACTTATAAAAGAACAAGGTATACACTTTGTTTCACCCTTTAAACTGTTCATAGCCTAAGGATTATCTGTACAACCTGATGTTTATTGCTGATAACATAAAAAAACTGATCATTTGCTAAAAAAAGATAAATCTTTTAAATTGTGATACAATTCAAATCGTTGGTTTAACTTTCATGATTTTTTGAAACGTTAAAAAGAACCTAAACTAAAGACAGGCTCTCAAACTCATCAAACAATTGAAACATACTTTTTACTGTGAAATCTAAAACAATTCCTTGCAAAATAAAGGGCCAATTAATTGTCCACAAAAGAAATAGAAAACAAAAGAAACAGAAAAGAACAAAAAATAAAACTGAATCTTTTATCTTGCAGACACATCAGTCAAACAAACCAACAACCAACCAGTCAGTCAGCCAATGAACATTAGTCTAAAACGTATGTGTCATGTCAAATATAAACGATGCGAATAATTTCCAGGATAACATCATGGTTTAACACACAAATACACATCATGCACGGACTGACACCGACATAGGGACATAACAAGAATACATGTAACAATGTCTCTGGTCTAAGTAAAATGGAATAAAAAAAAAATTGAAATTGTTTTCAAGCAATAAAAAAGGTAAAACAAGTGAAATGGTAAATGTCTAAAAAAGAGGAGTTAGACGTTTTATAAAAAGAGTCACAGGAGTGCAGTTTATAAGAGGATAGACTTAAAAGTTATTTCCAATAGAGATGCAGAATTTTAATATTTCAACTGGAACTTTTTTGTTATCTGATATATTCCATCAAAGTCCTCCCATTAAGTAATAGGTTTTCTAACAATATGGGAAATTTAGATCATTGATCGTTTTGCGTTTGGAAGAAAAACTTGATTACGAAGATCGAATCAGCTAGATCTTGCATCTGTACCGTCCTAAGTCTAAAACTAAATATCGGTTACTAGACTTACCTCCATTTTCTTAATGTTTGGTTATATTTTATTGGATATCTTAAATGATAACCGGAAGTTAACATAACGGGATTTAGTCTACGAAATTCCAACTTCTTGTTCACAAAGAGGAATTGTCATCCCCAAACACCTACAATGCTTTTTAGTCGTTGTATTGTTGCGTGGTTGATTGGTGAACCCGATATTATCACTCTTTAGCTCTACTAAACTCGATGTTCCAAACCGATTTCATTTCAATTATTTGGCTACATTATGTTTACTTTTTCACATTATCAGATGGAATTTCTATTGGGATAATTTCCCGGTTTCGAGAAGATCAGGCAAAAGTTCTCTTGTATTGATGTTACTCTCGACAAGAGAAACGAAAAGGGTTGTACAATGTTTTTAAGTTCATCGTTTTTAGCATAATTGTTTACGGCCCCCGATACTCTCGCTCTCTCTCTCTTTGCCAATACGCTCCAAGTACGAAAGACAAAGACACGTTATTTAATGGAATCTCTATTGTATTAGGTTCCCTAATCCGGGAAGATGACTGAAAAGCGCTCTCTTGTAAACAGAAACGAAGCTGTTGTAGAACTCATAGAGAATTTAAATTTGTATTGGGTTAAAATTAGAATTAGATACGAAGTCTACGAAAACCTAGTTCTTATTCACAAAGCAAATTGCATTTCTCGGACAGCTACGATGCTTTTTAGTCGATCCTTTGTTTCGTTACTGTATACGGAACACTATACTTTCACTCTCCCCCTATTTGCTAATACGCCCCAAGTTCGAATATCAATCTACATTTCAATTCATAGGCTTTTTGTAGAGTAATTTTTCCACACCATTCAATGAAATGTCTATTGCATGAAGTTCCTGATTCCGAGAAGATAATGGAAAAACGCTATCGATTTCAACAAAAGAAACGAAACTTTAGTTTCTTTGGTGCGATTAAATATCGATTGGTCAACTCCCAATTTCTCTTGGAGTAAAGAGAAGTGCTGGTAATGGATAATTCCACGTAATAAGGCCGACAACGAGATATGATCCCTTCTTTAGCTATCTGGCTTTAGCTGCCATCAAATGTCAGCGGCTTCTACTCCCGATTATAAAGTTTGTGACGAAACGTTTGAGTCGATCCTGAATAGTAATAAGATAAGAATGAATCCCTCTTAGGTTTTAAGTTGGCTTCCGAAACACCGAAACTTTTTGTGCAACTCCGAAACTCTTTGTTCTAGCAGTGAATTTTAGATATTTGCTATTTTCCGAATCCGCCGGACATTGGATGAGCGACAAGGTTTTTGTTTTTATCCTGTGACAGAATCAATTAATTCCACGTACTTCGAGAAGTCAAAACGAAAGGTGTAATCTTAGCAAAAAAACCGACTACGAGATATGATCCCTTCTTTAGCTATCTAGCTTTAGCTGCGATCAAATGTCAGCGGCTTCTACTCCCGATTAGAAAGTTTGTGACGTAACGTTTGAGTCGGTCCTGAATTGTAATAAGATAAGAATGAATCCCTCTTAGGTTTTAAGTTGGCTTCCGAAACTTTTTGTGAAACTCTTTGTTCTAACAGTGAATTTTAGATATTTGCTATTTTCCGAATCCGTCGGACATTGGATGAACGACTAGGTTTTTGTTTTTATCCTGTGACAGAACTAATTAATTCCACGTACTTCGAGAAGTCAAAACGAAAGGTGTAATCTTAGCAATAAGACCGACTACGAGATATGATCCTTTCTTCAGTTATTTAGCTGTAGCTGCGATCAAATGTTAGTGGCTTCTACTCCCGGTTAGAAAGTTTGTGACGAAACGTTTGAGTCGGTCCTGAATTGTAATAAGATAAGAATGAATCCCTCTTAGGTTTTAAGTTGGCTTATGAAACTCCCAAACTCTTTGTTCTAGCAGTGAATTTTAGATATTTGCTATTTTCCGAATCCGCCGAACATTGGATGAACGACTAGATTTTTGTTTTTATCCTGTGACAGAAGTACTAACCCTAAAAATTATATAATTAAAAAAAACAGTAAATTTTCAATGATTTTCCCTTCTGCCCTCCAAAATTTAAATCAGCAACAATATAAAAAAACAAGAACCAACCGACTTTAGGAATGACAAAAAGGTTGGCCAACAATTCTTCAAATGTGAGAGATTGTCTCGAAGTTGTTGCTTGCAATTTTAATGGATACATACAATTAAAAAACAGAAAGATATAGAAAACAACAAAAACCAGCATATATGTATATAGAAAGATTAAGAGGAGGAAACAGCGAAATTTTAAAACAACGTTAGAAAATGAAGAAAAAAAAAACAAAATGGAATATGAAACAAACCTAAAAAAAAAACAAACAAATACTTATTCCCACCAAACAGTAGAATACAAAAGCAAATGTGCAGACAACCACGAAATCATCAGTATATAATCGTTTAAACGTTTAACTTGATCATATTTATGCTTAAAACTATAAAAATAGTACTGCTGAAAGATTTCAGGTGTTTATAAACATTTATTATAAATGACTTTTAATTCTGTTAGGTTTTTGCTAATTTTTTTGCCACTAACAGAAGTGTGGTAAAAAACAAAAATAAATGCCAAAATAAAATACAAAATCAATTTAGTTTTATCTGTGTCTATTTAACCTAAAATTAGAAATAAACAAAGCATAAACTCTCACGCGATATTGAAAATTGTTTAACAATTTATTATTTGATTTATTTTCGTTAGTACGTTTTGTTTTATGCACACAGTGTGTTTGTTTTTTGAAGCTTTTAATGACAAAAGCAATAAATGTTTACAGTGGTGGGACAAGTGGATAAATTGTGAACTTGTACGTAGGGGATTTAATAGTAATAGTGTGGATTAACTTACAGAGACATTTGACCTTAAAATCAAAGGAATTCAACTCTTACCTCTGCTTTTTTACTGGAAGGTTATCGGTGAAAAATGTACAATGCCTGTTTCTATGCGAAAAGCGATATCACATCGATCAAATAGAATATGTATTCGATCAAATACTCTACTCTATCTATGACATTATGCGATAAAAATAAATACCTGGGAAGTGATACAATTTTTCTGAAAGGTGGATCCGAGAATATGTTTCTGAAATTACCCAAACACCTCCAAAATCTTGAGTTACGGGTAAAAACCCGGCTTATTGTACCTTGAAGCATTTATAGGTCAGTAACATAGTTGAATCCGAACCGATTTTAAGTTTCTCCATAGATTTAGAAAGCAGAAGCTGAGGCCTTTATAATGACATATGTATCGTTTAAGTAACCTTCTGGAGAGATATGTGTGAATTTCATCAGCAAACATATTTTTGATTTTAGTTTTGCATCGTTGTACAAGTTTGGAAAGGTTTTTTGAAATTATTTTATATAGGAACCGTACTTTTTATTAATTGATTAGAAACCCATGTCTATTCATAAGAAAAACGCATCTTTGTTTTTAAAAATCTGTTGGCAATTGACGACGTTATTAATATTTTTCGTAATACAAAATTGTTCCGGCTTTTTACCCGTAACTCAAGATTTTGGAGGTGTTTGGCAAATTTCAAAAACATATTCTTGTTCTACTAGGATCCACCTTTCAGGTATTTCAATTTTCGTTTACTTTATCTCACTGTGTTAACTATAGACGACCAGTTTTTGTGATCTCGTCTGTATGTCGTTTTCTGCTACGACGACGAAGTCTTATTGTTCTACTTAAGTATCCCTTAAAGTTCCACTGTTTAGGTTACGGGATTACTTTTGTTCACATGTCTACTCTGGTTCGGATAAGTCTTTGTCCGACTTGATCTGACCTCCACAATACTAATAATATTCATTACTTCCTAATACTTCACTGGCTGGATCTCGAGCAAAATACCTAAGTTATAGGCCTCCGAAACCTCTTTGGCATTTTCCATAATCAACAGCTTGCATGTTACCCTGAGCAACAGATCACAAAGATTTTATTCAGGCTACCTACCAGAGATACAAGCCATCTTGACGCCGGCCAAGTTTTGGCAAGCCGCGTCGCTGCCGACTCAAAAACTTACGTTTTTCTTTAAAAAACTGAACTGAGTTGCCACAGTTAGAAACAATTTTTCATAAAAATAACTGTAATAACGACAATTTTCTTACTTATATAGAGATAGTTTTCTATCTAACAAACCAAAATAAACACATTTTTCTATAGAAAATTTTCAGTAAAGAACAAATTCTCAGCATAGATTTAGCCGATATTTTAGCCGCCGCCAATCATTTTGCATCGGCTTGCATCTCTGCTACCGACCCCCATAGAAGAGCAGACTACCAAACTAGGGTTTCCGTTTCAACCAGAGATACAAGCCGAGACGGCTCAAATCGGTGGCGGTAATATATTGCAAGCCGCGTCGCCGCCGACTTCTTTCGGCTCAAAAGCTAAGCCGGCTTAAACGTAGCCGCTGATAAAGATTTTTCAATATAATAAACGCGTATAAGGTCAATTTCTGAAAAATTGAGCCGACAATTTAGCCGCCGCCGATATTTTCTATAAGCAGCCGCCGCCGATCATTTTGTATCGGCTTGTATCTCTGGTTTCAACCGGCCGCCTACGCCTGAGAACTCACATTGATTTTAAAGACTTTAGCAACCTGGACCAAGAATATATTGACGTTTTATCTTTTAGAATTTCCATAAAAGATAAAATAAGATATATAAAATCAGCACGATTCCTTACTGAGTAATAAGCACAAAATTAGGGAGTTTTTGAAATCTGGTTGGGTACTGAAGAAAATTGAGACCGAAATTTGTGGTCTAATTCATATTTTTTTTTTGGTACAAATTAAAAAAAAAATGAATATGTTTATCCATTTTTAAAAAAAGTCTATTAATAAACATTATTATCTAACGCATATTGATCAAACACCACTGTACAAGTAAAGTGCAATTCTGTCAGACAAAACTACGTTTCTTATAATTTTGGGCAAATATTTCGGCATTTTTCAATGCTAATATATGCGCATTAGTGTGCGTGTAAATGTGTGGGAATTGTCTACTTTTATTCGTGTCTAGTAGTCATATAGAGTTTAGTTCAGTTCATCGGTACTGCACTGCACACACAAATAAATTTTCGTATCTTTTCGATTTTTTTGGTTTCTCTTAGGGGCTTGAGTTGGTTGTGTCTAGTATAATTTTTTCGGTAGTATCATACACATTTTCATTCTAAACTGTAAATAACGATTAATTTTTGTCCAAGTGTTTCGTTATAGAAAAAAAATCAAATAATAATCAATGCGCCGCGCGCAAGGTGTGCGTGAGATACATTATCTCTCAAATCGTGTTAATTGCTTTTTTAGATAAAAAATTTTGTTGCTGTTGTTGACATATTAAACAGAAAAAAAAATAAACAATATAATATAAAACATTTTGCCTGTGTGTATCATTTTGCTGTACAGGTATTTATTTATGGTCTTTTGTTAAGTGGATAGATGGATGATGGTTATTTTACGACCAAACGATACAATTCTATTATATTAGATTTAATATATAGTCAAATGATGTTTATTTGTATGACTGGTTTTGTGTTTTTTTAATTTTATTTTATTATTTGAATTTAAAAACGTATTATTTGGTTTTTGTTGTTTTTAGAGTTCATTGATATGAAATGTATTTTATGTGTGTGTGTGTGTATGAGTTGGTGGCAATTTTGTTTGCAAAATTGTTATTATATGGCTAATAATAATAAACATGTTTAATTCTAAATAGAGACATATACAGACAGACAGACCGACAGATACTAAAAATACGTACATACATCTTTATTTTTGTATCTGGTTGATTTAACTCTTAATGTTTTGACACTTTTGTTATTGTTTTTGTGAATATTTACTTTATTTATTTGTTTATTTAAAAATAGTTTCAATATTTGTTTATAAAAATAACATGTTAATGGGATTTTTTTGCTTTTAATTAAAGTACTTGTTGTATTTTAGAACATTTATCTTAAATATTTAAATAAAGTTTTATTATTTAACTTGAGTTTATCATCTGTTATTTCTTTACTCATTGTTACTAGAAATTTTTGCACTATACAGTTGTAACCTTTGACCTCTCGCAAGTTAAATGTAAATACAAATAATCCGCAAATTACGAGTTTCAGCTCCCCGGATGGCAAGAAAATAATCCAAATCAATTG